TGAAGCAGAGTATAGAGCGATGGCTCATGGGGTTGCGGAAATCATGTGGATAAGAAATCTGTTAGGTGAACTGGGTTTCGCAGTAAGCAATCCTACGTCACTCTACTGTGACAATAAAGTTGCCATCAATATTGCTGCTAATCCAGTTCTGCATGACGGGACGAAACACATTGAAGTGGACAAGCATTTTATCAGCATTTTATCAGAGAGAAACTTGAAAGTGGAGAAGTGTGTACACCATATGTCAGCTCGGAAGAGCAACTTGTAGATATCTTCACCAAAGGTCTTCATCATGTGCGACACAAAGATTTGTGTGACAAGTTGGGCATGATTGACATCCATGCTCCAACTTGGGGGGGAGTGTTAGAATAATGTTAAAATAACATAGTTGCAGATGTTAGGGCCTGTTTGGCTAATTAAAGTGTTTTTTATTTTTGTTATGTTTGTTATTGTACTCAGGGGCACATGGGTCTTTTCCCTTGTTATTTTTGTCGCCCTATATATAGTAAAATAAAGACTGGCGCCGCCAGTACTATTACATTGCAAAACCTTCTCTCTTCTCTCCTCTCTTCTCTTCTCTTCTTCTTCTCTTCTCTTCTCTTCTCTTCTCTTCCTCTTATCTTTGGCCGGCCACACTGTCAAGATGTACTATATTAATGTAGTCCATGTTGTATTGTATCTCTTATTTTATTTATTGTTATTTCTCTTTAGCCCTGCAAGGGCTTTTTTGTAAATATCCTTATTTCATTAATAGATATATTAAGGCTCTTCGAGTAGGGTCGAACTATTGAGTTTTCACCCCATAATTCTGTCTTCTCTCTGGTACTAACTGCTTATTTGACAGAAATGATTGTTGAGAACCCATTACGATGATTAGGAGGATATGATCATTGATGAATGTTAATTTTAAAAATCTTCGCATAGTAAACCAGTATCTAAGCATAACCTTTTCTGTTCTTGTCCTTTTGAGAACATTAACATGAATGATTGAATTATTAATTCATACATACACACAGCTTAAAGATGGTTTTTGGCACCACGATGTTTCAAACTGAAACACTTCAACTTGAATAATAGTGCTTCAAGCTCATCTCGGGACAGAGAAAGAGTGACATTTTGGCACTAAACATGGAATACATTATTTTACTATTCTTTCAAACACATGTAATAGTGCCACATGGGACAAAAGCAGGAACTCCTCCAGATTCAAGAAACATCAAATGACACTTCTTCCATTGCCCCCTATGAGCATTGGATGTTATTTTATTTTATTTTATTTTTGCTTCAATTTTGAAAGTTGAGCCACCCCTGTTGCACTGAAACAGTAATACTACCCTACAAGGTCCAAGACTCTAAGTAGGAGGAGGAAAGGGACACAGTCCAAGTATGGACTGCAACATAAATGTAAGTCAAACAAACAAGAAAAGAAATTACAACACAATGTTGCCCTAAACTAAGACCAAATACAAAGTTTTGAGCAATGTTTTAAAACGCGGAGGCATGACACGAGGCGTTCCACTATCTAGACGCGTGAGGTGTAGTTCATAGCGCAAGAGGCGTAAGCCTTCTCAAGAGGAGGGGGTTAGGATGAGGATGAAGAGGAAGGGGGGATCTCATTTTTTCTTTATTTTTAATGAAAATCTTTTATATTAAGAAGAATAAAGATGCATAACACTAGTTGAAAGGGGGGTCTTGTTGAAGAGGAGCAAGACCCCCCTAAATAAAAAAAAAAATTGGGCTGCATCGAAAAGGGGGCAGGGGGGGGGTCTGGGGAGCAAAGCCCCCCAGCCAAAGGGGCAGGGGGCAGACCACTTTCTTTCCCTTTATCTTTTCTTCCCTTCCCTTTCATTTTCTTTTCTTTTTTCTTCTCTTTCTTTTTCTTTCCCTTCCCTTTCTTTTCCTTTCCTTTTTTTTTCTTTTTTTTTCCTGTCTTTTTATATCATATGTGCATGAGGTGTACGCCTCTAGCACGCCTCATGAAAAAAGCGCAAGAGGCGTACGCCTCAGAGGTGTCAGTGCCTCTGGCATATGCCTCAGGGCGTTTTGGGAGCACCTCCAGGCATTTGCCTCCCATGCCTTTTAAAACACTGGTTTTGAGTATTCACTCCTCTTCCTAGGTTAATTTACAAGGTATCAGTTGATCTTGGTATCGGCTGAACAAGCAATTCAGCCTGAACCCTGCCAATAACCATGGCAGTCTGTCTTCAAACCCTGCACAGAAGCTGCTATTTCTGCTCAGGTTTTGTTAAGAATATAAATTTTTGGATTGATATCATTGAACATATCATGAACTTAATGTAGGATTTTGAAATTAAAATTTGCAAAACAAAACTTACAATGTCAACAAAATGTGAAAGCAAAGCAACTACCATAGAACCGATATATGAAAATGTCTCTTTTTCTTTATTTAATTATAATTATACATTTTGTCAAATTTAGAAATGAAACAAATAAAAAACTTCTTTGACCATTAAAGGAGTAGATTCAGGTTTACTATCTATCCATTGTAAGAAACTATGGTTCAAACTCAGATGGTTTATTCATGCCAATGAGAAATTCCTAACAATTGATCACATTGTTGATAACGTATGAATCCTTAAMAAAAAAAAAAAAAGAATATTTTTAACTGTCAAAAGACTTACTGCTTCAATTTGTTCAAGGGCACGGGCTGCTTCCTTCTGCTCCTTCTCCTTAGCAGCATTCTCCTTTCTCATAGAAGCAAGTCTCTTGGCAACATTATCCTTGTGACGCTGACCAAGCTCATGAGTTCTAATGCTCATAGGATTGTTGGCTATGTAAATCTTGCAAAAGTCGCACCATTTATTACCCTGACTAACCCAGTACTGGGTATAAAAAAACAGAAATAAAAGAAGATTATCTTCAGTCAAACAACAACAACAACAACAATTATAATACACATGGAAGAGAAAGATAACCAAAAAAGCAATAAAAACTTCAAAGAAGCAAAGCTATACAGTTACAGTACACATGTTAATGGGCTAAAAATTAGCACCTGAAGTTCTCCATTGTGCAAACTTTTGTGGAAATATATCAAAACCTTTAACTAGATATGACAACAGATAAAATAAGGTCCTTAATAAAATGAAAGTAAGTCAGCCTTTGAAACTAATGGTTGTGTCTGACTAATACTACACCATCATGACAGCAATCAGAATCTTAAACTTTTCCTTTCTGTCATATTGGGTAGAATTGGGATAAACTTCTGCTTCTAAAACAAGAATTTTCTTTTAGTTTTCTAAGTACAAGAATTTGAAGGATGAGTTTTGCGCCCAAAGAAGTTCTTTTGTAAAGTTTGCTTCTGATATCTGCTGAAGCACTCAAAAGTATTAGTTTGGGGCAAAAAGAAAAAGGAAATAATTCTGTTGATATCAAATTGATCTTCATTTGCAGGAGCACCAGAAAATCACTCCAAATGGAGTTATCCAAATGTCATCTTTAGAAAGAAGTGTTATATCTTCATAAGCTCTCAACACCAAAACGCATGAACTATGAATAAGTATAGGCTATTACTCATTTAGTTCTGTGAGAAATAAAAATGTGGCAAACCAGTAATAATTTTCTAAATATAAGTTATACAAATGTCCGCGTGCGAACCAAGTGAAGAATAATTGATGTTCTGAACTTTAATAACCTTAATAGAAGGGACTAATGTGCTATTCATACTCATAACCTGAACCGAGCTAGAAATAATATGTACCCAGTACTAATAAATAATTTTGTTATTGTAATTATATTAGTTACATGAAATCAAGATAAATTTGCAAAAGCAGAAAGAAATTGCATGAATACATCAAAAACATCTCCAAGCAAACAAGCAAGAGAGGGGGTACCTCAGTCATGGCTGCGAATCAAAGCTTTTTCCTGATATTATAACTATGAACCCTAATAGATAGGAGGAACTTCGTCTGCAAATTCAAGTTATGGAAGCAAACAGATCTACTACAGGTCCAAATCCTAATGGCTACGGCTACGATGGAGACGAGAGCTCGTCCGAGTTTCACCTTCCGCCGCTCCGTCGCTTGCGACAAAATGCCTTGCAGTTCTGCTTAGCGAAAATTAAAGCTTAATTCACAGACAACTCCTATTGTATTTAGGAGTAATGACACTTAGCCCCCAAAAGTAAACAATGTTTTTGCCATGAAGAACCCTCCTGCTTCATGGGGTTACATATTTATCACTATTATCTCCCGTGAATGATAAGGGAGATATTCCCAATAAACCTGTAATGTTTTGTGGGTAAACATGTGAGGATAGCTCGTGGGTAACAGATGAAAGCCCCTAACCCCCACCTCCAAACCACCATGGTGGGGATTTTATCCCAGTCTCTCTTACAAGTTACAACGAGTCAGAGATCCAAGCCAACATCAGTTTGGAAGATCCCTCCGAATTTATGGATTCCATCATTCTTTTTTTTTTTTAATTTCGTCAGTTAACTTTGGTTAATTTCGTCTTAACTTGTTTTTCTTAACTTTCTTTTAACAAAATTTATCAGAAATGAGAATACCTTGAAAATGACGTCATTAATGTCTTAATAACAATTTGTGCCTTAAAATGGTTATAATCTGGTATTCATATTTGTTGTCGGACGCTCATATAATCAATATATATAACATTTCTCTTAAGCTTATTATGACTTTTCAAAACATCCATAAAAGCCCCCAATCATCAAGTTTTATTCTCTAAAATTCACATTCTCTTAGGTTATGTTTGGTTTGAAGGAGATAAGAAAAGGAAGGACAGAAAAACTTATTAAGGTTTGTAAAGATTTACCTTTTTTTCCCTTCCTTTCCCTACATTTTCTTTCAAACAAAACATAACTTGAGATTTTCATTAGATGACCCTTAATAAAAGGTTGCCCATGAAAGCATTTAACTAGCATTTAACTATTTTATATGAATAAACTACCCTTAAAATAGTCATTCAACCTTATTAAATATTTTTATGATAAAAATTACCCCTAAAATGGCAGGCCTTATTAAATACGTTAGGCTTGGGCCTGGCTTAAAGTATTAGGCCCAAGTCCAACTCTAAAATTTGTGGGCCTAGTGTTGGCCCGGGCCTAAGTCTAGGGTATTTTTGTCATAAAAATATTTAACAAGCTTGATTGGCAATTCAAGGGTAATTTGGTCATGTAAAATAGTTAAATGCTTATATGGACAGCTTTTATTAATGGTCACTGATGGTCATGTAAAGGAAATCTTAACAGAATGTGAGTTTTAGACAATAAAACTCAATGACTGTAGCCCATGAATGTTTTGAAAAGTTATAGTGAATTTAAGATAAATATAAAAAAGTCATGGTAAGTTGTAGATAATATCCCAAAAACAAAATCTAAAATGGACAATTTAATAATTTTGTCCTCAGTGTTGAACCTTGGTTAGCATATGAGAATCAAGATGTTCAAGGATCTTTGTGAAGTGTTTGGAGGAAAGTGTTACAACTCCTTAAATACAAAGTGGGTATGTGTAATTTATATCTATATCTATATTACTACTAAAAGTACAAATGAGAATGTAGAACATTTATTTAACTAAAATATCCTTATTTTATAATTTGGTCTCTTTATAATTACAAGGGCATAAAATGTAACTTGAACTACTTTTTTTATCTCATTCAATTCCCTCTTATTAAGTTTTATATTCAAGTATTAATCCCTATTAATTCCCTTTCATTAAATCTATATTTAAGCTATTTTTAGCTGAATTTTATCATTTTTTTGCTTTAATAAATTTTGTCAATTAGATTTATATCCAATATTTTTAGCAATACAAACCTGATGCCTAAAACCAACCAAAAAATGACAACATTCTTCCATCCTTATGTAATTCAACCATCCAAGTCAAAATGGGTCAATTCATGATGCTATAGTTAAAGAATAGAACTTTTAAAAGGGAAATAAATACAAAAGATTACAAAAAAAAATGTTAAAAAGAGCCAAGTACAACTCTAATATTTTATATTAATCATATTAAAGAAAAATATGTGTGATAAACAATAATTGCTCTTATAGATGTTGTAAATGAAATACAAAACTTAAAACCGACCCAACAATGAAATTGTTTTCTCATTTTTGGTGGTAGGTCAACAGTTCAACCTTTTAGGTCAAATGTGTCAGCCTTAGATTTTAGAATTAAATAATAAAAATTTAAAAACATATATAAAAACAAAAAACTAAATATAAAGAAATTCACTAGTGTTTTATATTAATTATATTAAATAAAAACAAGTGTGATAAAAAAAAGTGTTTTTACTGATGATGGAAGTGAAATATAAAATATAAAGATGACCCAAAATTAAATCATTTTCTTATTTGGTAAAGGATCAACAATTTAACCTTTTGGGTCAAATATTCATACCCTTGATATCGTAATTAAATAATAAAAAGATAAAAAACACAAAAAATACTAAAAATGTAGAACTTTTATAGAAAACATTCGGGCACATCTCTAATATTTAATTGATGATAATATTTTATTAATCATAATAAAGATAAAAGTGTGATAAAAATAATTGATTTATTGATGATGGTAATAAAACACAAAATTCAAAACTAATCCAAAAGTGAAATTGTTCTCATGTTTGGTGGTAGGTCAATAGTCCAACCTTTTACGTCAAATATATTAGCCCTTGGTGCCATAATTAATTAATAAAAATTAAAAGTGACAAAAATGAATAAATTTTGTAGAAATCATTTATGTCAATTTGAACAACCACTTTTTGCCTCATTCAAATCCCTTTCATTTAGTCATATTCAAGGTATTAAGCTCCCATTAACATTTATTGAATCTCATTCTTGACTAAAATACCCCTATTTCTGAATTTGGTCACTCTTTGATTGTGATGGAACAGAATGTAATTTGAACTATTACATTTCTCCTTGTTCAATTTTCTCTCATCAAGTTTTATATTTAGGGTATTAACACTCATTCTCTTATTGAGTTCTATATTTTTTTGATCGATAAAATAAAAATACTATTATAAAAAACTATTTACATCCACCAACAGTTCATCCAAGGATGTGGGTCACCTACCCATAATAGATCATTCTCACTATGCTTAGCCATGCTTGGCATAGAATGAGCCAGCATATTACTTGATCTAGTAACATGTTTAACTTTTGAAAAAAGAAAAAATCTAAAAAGACTGATAACTTTGTCCATTAAAGGCAAACAAAAAAAGGGAATATCCTCAAAAGAAGCAAAACTTAAGGCCTTAACAAGGATAGAACAATCTGAGACCACATTGATAGCCAAAATATTCTTTTCCCTCGCAAAAGATAAGGCCTTCCAAAGAGCCCACAATTCTGCTTCAATTGATCCTTCTCTAATCAAGCACCTCCCCCTTGCAGCAGCAAAAAAAAATCCCATCAGAATTAAAACAAACAAATCCATAAGAGCCACTCCTCAAGTCAATAGTATCACCACCATAGAATATAAAATGTAATGAAGGGAAATGAGATAGGGACATAATATGAGAAGAAGATTACCGAGTCTGTCCCTGTCCCTGATGACAGGTTGTACCTAGGATACAGAAAGACTTTGCAAACACTACTTGAATAGTAGATAATAATAATAATCTATCAACCGAGAAAGCTTGGTTCTGGAAGATAAAATTATTTATAGCAATCCAAATAAAATAACAGAAAATCACTATCCAAGATAGAACCTTATTTCTATCTACACCTGCATCAAACACATTCAAAATATTAATTATAATGTTAGCCGAATTAGAACTGAGAAAACATTCAATCCTTGAGTTGAACCACAAGGCTCTTGCAACCAGGCAATTAAAGAATAGATGTATAATGTCTTCATTCTCTCCTTTACAAAAGACACGTGAATTTTGAAAAGAAATAACTTGGAACAAAATTACGAACCACTCCCTAAAGAAACAATTTATATCTAGGGGCAATTTTAAGCTTCCAAATCTTTTTAATTAGAAGTTCATGTTCTCAATGGTAATCGGAATTCCCTTCTGCGCCAAATGGCTAAATAAGCATTCTTTAAAGTCAAAGAACCATTCCTTGCTAACATCCAATAAAACCTTTCAGCTTGAGAATTTCTAAAAATGTGCATATTTAACACATAAGGCGTCCAACTATCCCCAAGAGATTGAAGAACTACTAGGGAATTCCAATTTCCAACAGAATTAAAAAGGTCGTTAAAAGTCGTATTTACAAATTGCTGAGTAGGCAGACCAATAGGAGCAGTAACAAATCCATCAATCTGAATCCAAGACACATTACATATGTTCTCATGAGAGTCCAAAGACACCTTGTAGACCAGGTCAGATTTGAGAAAAAGAAGAGAGTTATAAATAGTTCTCCAAATCCTAGAGCAATTGGATTGTAATCTACAAGGAAAGATACACTGAGAATACAAATATTTACTTCTCAAAATCTTTACTCAAATTCTGTGATCTTGATTTAAAAATATCAAAGCCAATTTTAATTAAAAAGCAATATTCATTTCATTTGCCTTTTGAATTCCTAGACCCCCATATGAGATAGGAGAGCAGATCTGGTTCCAATTTTTCCAAGTTAATCCTCTAGAATTCTTCCCTGAAGACCACAAAAATGTTCTCTGAACTTTATCAATTTTGTCATTAAGCCCTAAAGGAAGTGAAACAACAGGCATGACATGATTAGGAATAGATTGAAGAGCAGATTTTAGAAGAACTAATTTACCAGCTTGAGACAAATTAGTAGCTTTCCATGCATTTAGTTTGGAGTTAAATTTATCCAGTAAATAAGCAAAAGCAGAATTCAAGTTCCTATTCTAGAACATATGAATACCTAAGTATTTGGTGAAAGTCCAAATTACCCATTTTCAATTGCCTGGAAAGAAGTCTCCTACATCCATGATGAAGATTTTGCTAAAAAAGACGGGATTTTTGATAATTAATCACCTCCCCAAACAAATCTTGAAACTTCCTCATTATCTCAAGCAAGTTATAAACCTCTTCCCTAGAATCCCTTATAAAACGAAAACATCATCCACAAACAAAAGGTGTGAAATAGAAGGGGCCTCTCTATCTATTTTAACACCATGAATCCTCCCAAATTCCTCAACCTTAGGAAACATTCAAGATAAAACCTTCATTCCTAGGATAAAAAAGATAGGGAGATAAAGGATCTCCTTGTCACAACCCTCTATCCAGAATAATATGATCTTCTGCTAAGCCATTAACCAAAATAGAATAAGACACTATGGATATACAAAAATAAACCATTTCACAGAAGTTTTCGAAAAATCCAAAAGCCTTTAAAACACAAATAATAAACTCCCA